GCCTGTCTGAAAAGAGGAGGGTTGACACAGAACAGAAGAACTTGGGGGTAACTTTTAAGCTATAATGGAACTGGGTACTAACCCAGCTGGATGGCCTACAGATCTGTGACTTGACAAGAGTCAAAATTCATTTAAGAAATAAAAAGTTTTTTTTTAAATTGGCTTCTCAATAATAATAATAATAACAACTAGCATTTGTATAGTGTTTTAATGTTTATAAAGTGCTTTAGAAATATTTTTCATTTGATCCTCACAACAGCCCTGGAAAGATGGTGCTATTATTATAACATTTTTCAGATGTGGAAACTGAGGCAAAAGTTAAGTGACTTGTCCAGGTTCACATAGTAAGCTTCTAAGGCCAAATTTGAACTCAGGTCTTCCAGAATCTAGGCTCAGAGCTCTCTCTGGGTTAATTTAAGTGTATTCTTGACCTTCTTCTTTTGCAAAGGAAAGGAGAAAAACACATTCTCAAAGGGAAACACAGGCAACAAAGATGGGGAAAGCAATGCCATATTCAGAATTTCTGTACTTGAAGCAAGTTTCAAGAACTGCCGTAAATCTGAAGTCAGGGTACACAGAGATCCAACAGGGTGAAAGGAAGAGAATGGGGACTAGAGACCCCAAAATGTCAAGGGAACAGGTAGAAGCAGAAATGCAACTTGGGTCCAGTCAATATATCAAAAGAAATATTTCTGGTTGAATAGAACAAAAGAAGGAGGAACATTTTGAAATGGAGAATTAAAGCTCTGGAGAAGTCTACAAAAGCCCACAAAACTGGGTACCTGGGAGACAAACTGAAGGTTACAAGGTTTTTGCTGGGTTTATACTCTGTCTCTGTCACTGTCTTTCTCTCTCTCTTTTAACTGAGTAGCAGGAAGGGTCAGCCATGCCTAACCCTCAATTTCAAAGAAGTCACACTGCATGTAGCTGGATTCTTGACAGAACCTATATTTTACCATTATCCAAGGTATTCTAAAATACACTGCAGTTGTCTAACAGACTAGTTTTGGGACAACAGGCCAATTAATTAACTAAACAGGTTGCTTCGGTGAGGGATAGCTTTCACAAATAAGGAGGTGATGATCTCAGGTGATGACTGCATAAGAACTATTGCACCTGATTCTGTTCATTTGAATGGAATCTGATCAACACTTTAATTCAGATTTACTCTCTATTCTATATTTCAGTATAGATTCCATCCATTTATAGTCTCTACTTCTGTATTTTGTATGAGAAAATAAGAATTACTTCCCTCTTACTTAGAGGGGATACAAACTGGTATGCAGATAAGTAGCTACAAAGTAATTCCAAAAGGGAACTAACATTTACAGCTGGGGAGATCACAAGGGTTCTTGCAAGCTTTCTATAGGTATCTGGAACAGCTAAGCAAATTATAGAATAAGAATAGCATCAAATTCTATTGGACCATGAGAAATGATGCAAGAGATGGATTGACAGCAATCTAGCTAGGCTTGTAATGAACTGATGCAGAGTGAAGTGAGCAGGGCCAGGAGAACAATTTATACAATAACAGATAACCTTGTAAAGACAAATAACTTTGAAAGACTTAAAAACTATGATCAGTACAATGACCAATCATAATTCCAGAAGACCAATGATACAAGGTGCGATAGTGGATAGAGCATGATCAAATCTGTTCTCAGATACTTACTAGCTATGTAGCCTTAGGTAAGTCTGCCTCAGTTTCCTCATCTATGGCAGGCTCTTGACAAATAAATGTTTATTGAATTGAAATGAATCCAAATGTAAATTGTAGACAGAGTTGGGGAGGGAAACAGTACAAAGTCTGAGTGAGCTTTACTTTACCTCAATATCTAGATTATAGATTTTGTGTTGGAAGGGACCTTAGAAGTCATTGAGTCAACCCCCTCCATCTTACAGACCAATCAATCAACATTTATTTATTAATATTTACTATCTGCCAGAAACAGATGAAGAGACCAAGGCCCAATAAGCTGAAGTGGGTTCAAAGTCACAAAGTAGTAAGTGACAGCGCTGGGATGCAAAACAAGATCTTTTGCCCCCAAACCCATTGTTCTTTAGTTTTGTTTTCCAAAGGACATGTACCAAGACCAACTCCACATCTGCAAACCGGTTCCATTTTCCTACTGAGGCTTGGGGAGATGTTGTATGCCAATGTATTTGCCCTCTTCACAGAACAAATGAGTCAACCAAATGCATATTTATTTCCTCACTCACTTGAAACTCCCCTCAGTATATTCCTCTGTGCCTATCGAAATTCCTTTGGCTTTTTCTAGACAATAAACATAAAGCTGATAAAATTCTCCCACCCCAAACTCCTCCAGCACTTCCTACATTCATTAGTTCCTTCCTTCCTGATTATGTGGGTCCCTGGGGACTGGAGCCAGGACCACTACAGCCATGCTGTATAAATAGAACATGGCAATATGGAAGAGAGAGCACTACATTTAAGGGGAAAGCAGCATGAACAAAGGATTGGAATTAGGAAAAATCAATTACCAGAGACAAGATAAAATAAGTAAGGAGCTACATTGCTACAATATGATGGCAAACCTTAAATTCTAGGTCAAAGAGTTTGGATATGTTATGGAAAATGGGGCAATCATCCTAGGTTTCTGAGGTCGGTACTGATCTAAGATTGTTATTCTAACATACTCTCACAAAAGAATCTTGATGAGACATTATCAGATATTTAATCAATCATCGACTCTTCCTTTACCATGTTCATGGTAACTCATATAAGAGTTAAATTGCCCCTTAAAAAAACTTTTTTTTCCAGTTAATCCTCTCACTGCAGAAACTCAACACTCCTTGCCATTCTGGTTGTTCTTCTTTGGATTTACCAATTGGTTTACCAATGTCCTTCCTAAACTACAACAGCCAAAATTGAGTTTAATAGCTTTCATGTAGTCAGACCAGTCTGTATGGTATTTGGTACTGCTGTTCTGGCAGTCATTTTACCTTGCAAATCCCCTTTGATTCCTGGTTTTGACCTCAGGTTGATGCTACAACTTCCATTTCATTTGTCCTATAACTGACTCTTCTGCCATATAGTGGTAGAAGAAAGCACCCTGGACCACAATCTTTAGCTTGGGAGAGACAAAGTAAAGAGAATGATGGTTTTAATAGCCTTCTTTCAGTTAAGCTTATGGAAACTTTTGATGGAACTAACAATTAGAAAGGCATAAGGGAGCAGGTCCATCATAAAGAGTCCCCCGTCTCACCATAAGATAGTGTGGAGCTCCTCAGGAAGTTTCTTCTTATAAGCTCACTCTAGTAAAATCCGGCCCTCACTCTACCATTTCTTGAGTAAAGCATTACCTCTAATCAATTTGGTTGCGGCCAGTTGTACCCTACAGTATAATATGACTGGCTAATGGGTAACTTAAGAAGAAAGAATCAGAGAGTAAATAGTTGAAAGGTAAAGCATATATAGTCAGTTAACTGGATGTTTTCTCTATTCAATGCCAAATAACCTGTTTGACTGCTCTTCCTTATCCAGTTTGTAGACTTCCCATACTCGCTGTTTTTCCTCTTTGTGTCTATATTCTGGAAGAAAAAAGATGGGTGCCAATACTGCTATTTGTGTAAATCTCTGGCAAAAGGATTTTTGAGGTTGAAGGTTGTATATGTAAGACTATAAGATTTTTTAAAGTAAGATAGACAATTATAGAATCACAGAATTTCAGAGTTGGGAAGGACCAAAGTGGCTGTCCAGTCTAACCATAACTGACACCTACACATATATTGGCCTTGAGTTTTCTCTTCTTCTCTTCTCTTATTCAAGTTAAACTCCAGCGGTTCCTTCAACCAGTCCTTTAATGGCAGAGTCTGATGCTCTTTGGCATTCTGGTTGTCTTCTTGTGGATGTTCTCCAGCTTATCAACGCTCTACATAGAATATCCCCTCCTGGATCACAGCCTTCTGATCTTGGGTAGCCCAATGAAACTAGGAGCTATGTCATGTAGGTTTACCCAAGACGGACAGGTCATAGTGGAGAGTTCTGACAAAAGGTGATCTACTGGAGGAGGAAATGGTAAACCACTCCAGTATCTTTGCCAAGAAAACCCATGGACAGTATTAAAATGACAAAAGATATGACACTGAAGATAAGCCCCTCAGGTAGGAAGGTGTCCAACATGCTACTGCAGAAGAGCAGAGGACAACTACAAGTAGCTCCAATGAAGTGGCTGAGCCAAAGTCGAAAGGAAGCTCAGCTACAGATGTGTCTGATGACAAAAGGAAAGTCCAATGTGATAAAGCTCAATATTGCATAAAAGTCTGGAATGTCAGTTCTATGAACCAAGGTAAGCTGGATGTGGTCAAATAGGAGATGGAAAGATTAAACATTGACATCTTGGGTATCAGTGAAGTTAAATGGACAGGAATTCAGGTGATCATTACATATACTACTATGGGCAAGAGAAATTCGTACCATATTTTGTTCATCCAAAAATCAAGTTCGGTCCTAGTGTATACATTTCCTGTTTCCAGAAGTCTGCCCAAGTAACATTAAATGACAGAATTTAAAGTATTAAAAATAGTTTACCTCAGTTTCTCCCTTTGTAATATGAAGGGGTTAAACTATATAATCTCTAGTGTCTCTAGACACTAGAAGATACTGTAGGTTCTCATAGAGCTGATCAACTTTGGCTTCTTTGGCTTCAGTGATTGAAGCACAGACTCATATTACTGTGACATTGAACAGTTCACCTTGGATTCAAATAGGTATCATTCTATCATTTTTGATTTTTGGATGAACAAAATATGGTATGAATTTCTCTGAATTGAAGAGAACTCCTGTAGAATCTCTACAGCCACTATTGGAAGAGTTAGCCCTAGAGCCTACACGATTTGTTTCTTGACAAGTTCAGAAAATAACATTGCTGTCTTGTTTTGACAATGACAGTATGAACATCTTTGAAAGTAGACAGTAGGACAAGCACATGAATGATTGCTCCAGATCACTAATAACAAGATAAATGCAAATTATAACATCTCTGAGGTTTCATTTTCATACCCCTCAAGTTGGTAAAATGATAAAAAATGGGAAGAGTCAATGTTAGAGGGGCTATGGGAAGTCAGGCACACCAGTAATTCTTGGTGGAGTTGTCAATTGGTTTAATTATTATGGGAAACAATTTGGAATTGCTCACAAAAAGTCACTAAACTGTTTGCATACTTTGACCCAGAAATCCCAGTAATGGGCAAGGAGATAAACAAAAGAAAGGTCCTATGTACAGCAAAATATTCATAGCAGTACTCTTTGTGATAACAAAACACTGGAAACAAAATCCATAGATCGGGAAATGGCTGAACAAATTTTGGCATATGAATTTAATGGAATATTATTCAAAAATTAAGAAACAATACGAAGAATTCACAAAACCATGGAAGACTTGTATAAAATAAAACAGAGCAAAGAAAGCAAAATTGAGAGAACAGATACATCTACAGTAACATGAATGAACACAGTAATAAAAGAAATTGAACTCTGGTGAATTTGTAACAAACAATTTTGGTCCTGAAGAACTGATAAGGAAACATACCTTTCTTCTCTCAGCAGAAATGTGGGGATTATACATGTGAACTGTACTACACACAGACAGATTTAGTTGTTGTGAAGACTGGTGTTGCTAAAATGTTTTTGTCATAAGCAAGGCTGCATAGAGGATATGATACTTGGGGGGAAATTATCTACATTCAAAGAAAAGAAACAACAAAAAACTCTACATTTTTAAGCTAAAAAAATAAACAGAAGACACAATATTCCCACTAAAGGACTTTTGAATACTGTAGGTGCGATGTATTAAATCAATCAGTCAACAGATGTTTGTTAAGCATCTACTATGTGCCTGGCATTGTACTAGCTGCTGGGGATACAAAGGCAAACAAAGTCCTTGCCCTCAAGGAGCTCACACTCTGTTACTTCCATTTAACTTATATCTCGGCAACAAACATTTGTTATGTTGCAGTTGAGTCTTGAAAAAATTTTATCAAGAACAAAATTTGAATTGATATCACTACTAAAAAACATACACATGGTGTTGAAGATACAAAGGTGAAAAACAAAACCAAACATTTCTGCTTCCCTGAACGTAAGTAACAAACCATTATTCTGAGAAGGTGTCCAGAGGCTTCTCCAGGCTGCCAAAGGGGTCCGTGACATAAAAAACGTTAAGAACCACTGACTTAAAAAATGATTTGCTAAAGAACTGAGTACTTTGAGGTGAAAATGAAGAAAGCAGAAAAATACAATAGTAGCCATATTCTGAAATACAACATAACTAGGGATAGTACATTTATTCTCCCTTTTCATATTTCTTATAGCACTTTATCTAGGCCCCTTCCTTTGCTACATTCAACCCAGTGTCATGCTCACTTGGGTAGATGCCTTACTCTTTCTAATAGGTTGTAACCTCCTTGCCAGGTTTGGGGGTCTGCAGATCCTAGGTGAAAAGCCCTTGATCTAGGATATCTCCTGACTATTGTGGGATTTGTAGAGCCTAGTACTGATTATCTAGGAATTCTTTATTCAGTTTGTGGATTTCCTATACTTGTTGTTTGTCTTTTTTTGTCTGCTCTGGAAGAAGAAAGACGAGGTGCCAATACTGCTATCTGTGTGACTCTCTGGCAAAAAGGTTTTTTGAGGTTGAAGGCTGAAACAAATTTAAAATGAGATTTTTTTTTTAAATGGTCTGTGCTATTAATTCATATTCTTCCCATCTTACTTTCAATGAGTGGTCTGCCCCCTGGTGGATATGTAACCCACTCACATGGAAGAACATGCCATTTAACTTGTCCACTTTAGGAAAATGTTTTAATATATTTATTTTGAATTACTGAATTATAATCATATTAATAATGTTAATTTGTTCCTTGCCATATATGATACAATAAAATTGTCTGTGATTTTTATAATATTCTTTTGTAAGACTATAGGATTTTTTTAAAGGAAAATAGACAATTTTATGAGGAACAGTAACAAAAAACAAAACAAAAAAACCCATTGGTGACCAGTTCTGGTGAGGAGACTTGAGATGGCATATGAAGCTAAAAATACATATAAAATAGGACAAATAAAAACAAGACATAAGCCAGTAAAAATAAGTGGAGAAATGAATAGAGGTGCCAAGAGCTTAGCGTGGAGGGGAAAGTATTTAATGCTGTTGAGCTCTGAATGAATTTATCTCTAAATTATAGGAAAAAACCACAGCTGATAATGCTCTAAGAAAAAAAATTAAGGGAAAAATAAGCTTTTAATTTTATACCCAAATAGTTTTTTCTTATAATCTATTAATTTATGAGTTTGGGCTCAGTTTGGGCTCTTAATTAAATTAATATGGGTCTTTACAACACAATTTTTATTTTTTAAAACAAGGAAAGAAAAATACTTGATATTAACATTCACCCAGAACCACATACAGGGTTGAAATCAGACTGTGTCTGGATTTTTCGAATACAAAAAAACCCTTTGAAAAATGTGATATGAGAAAATAAGTATACAGAATACTCTGAACAGACCTAATCCAAAATGCTACTGTATTTCTATTCAGTGGGTATCAAAGTGCCTCTTTTACTGGTCTTTCAGGGTCCCAGGAAATCGTGATTACATGGCATTGGCTTTTCATTTTCAAAAGAATAGATGAAAAGCATGAAAATGCTTTTGGGGGGAGATTTGGGAGGAGGGAGTATTTCTAGCTCCTAGTAAGTTTCTGCCCTCTTTTGAGAATACTACACACAAAATGCCTTTAAGATAGGATGTTATTATAGTCCACTAATAACTAATGCCAGAGAGATGACAAAGCTATTCACAATGGAAAAGCTTTCATCAAGAATCACTTTATCATGTACAGTATAATGTACAGTATTCATCTAATGATACTACTCCTTTTTTATTTCTTGTTAGATACTTTTAATCATATGAAAATGATTGTAATTGAGTGGTCTTCAAGAAAATGATTCTAGGTAAACTGGTAATGGATGGAAATTGATGATGGAAATTTCTTGTTACAAGATTGGTGGATTTTCTATCTGCTGTATATTGACACTTGAAAGAGGGGAATACATAAAAGAACAGAAGAAACATTACACTGGGTTTTTAGCTCATTATAATAGCATGCATACCAACTATAAAAATAATAAAAAACCTGGCCATTTTTAAAAAAAAAATTGTGTCAATAACATATTGTAGTAGAAAGTATGATGGATTTGGAGACAAAATCTGAATTGAATTTCCTCCTCCATCACTTCTCTTGATCTCAGTTTCTTCATTTGTAAAACAGGTGGATATCTTCACTAACAGGGCTGTTGATCAAATGAAATGATGGAGGTAAACAAATGCAATGCACTATATTAATATAAGCTTCTATCACTGTTAGTCCAAAGAAATCCCTTGACTCAGTGATGTTTCCCCAGAGCATACATACTTAAGTATAGCTAAAGAGAACTCAGCTTTATTTTGGATGATGTGTGATAACATATATTTATCATTAGGTGATTTGATTATTCATATTCAACACCTAATTGGGGTTGCCATCCCAACCCCTGAACAAGCAGGAAAAGTTACTTTGGGAGAAATTCCCAACTCTAGTGCTGACAGGTAGAAGGGGTCTGGCTAGAGTGGGATGAATTTTCTTTCACTCTATCTACAAATAGAATCAATGCTACAGGTTTTCCTCCACCTCAGGGAAGAAATGATCATTCAAAGGATGGAGATTTTACCATACTACGAGGTGCCACTCTGGTCTTACTTCTGGGTGAGTCTTTGTGTAACAAGACCACTGGACCATTAATGCAGGGGATGAGACTTAAAAGGGATTCCCTGGTCAAGATGAAATCCTTAGGTCACTAGCTAGCGATATACAGCACCCACAGCTCCAGAACTAAGAACACTACTACAAACAGTCAACCCAAGCTCTTTGTTGAAGTGGGTGCTGAGGAATGTTCTTCTCAGGTGATTTTAGGAGTCAGCTCAGGAGTTAGCATGAATGTGTCTCCTCCTCTTCCCCTCCCTGCAGCTATCCAGACAGCAGAAGGCTAGGAAGATATATGAGAGGATTCAGGAGCTTTGCAGTGATATTAACAGATGTCCTCACCAAATACTGTCTGCTCTGAAAGCTCTATTATTGATGGAACTTCTATACACTATACATGGGTGCCCAATGTGATTGATGGAGAGTCTGAGATTCTCAGAACATGGCTATCGTATTTTTCAGACCAAGGAAACCTTGAAACACATTCAGTTGGGGCACAGGAGAAGGGGAGGTTTCTTTCAGAGACATGTGTGTGTGTACTCAAACTGGGAAAAGAAGTGGCTGGAAAAGAGGTGGCCCAGAAAGAATCTGGCCCAAATTACAATAGGAGTTGACCCTGAAGAGGAGCATTACAATGGGACTTTGAGGGTGGCAGCCATGTGAGAGGGAAGAAGACTGCCAGGAAAGGGAAGGGATGATAACTGCCATTAGAGAGAGGACTGGCATCCTAGGGAAAGATCTCACCCAGGTTTGGTGCTATGCTACATAATTTTGCTTCAAGAACATTTATTTCATAGCATGTTGCATAGGCAAAATAAAATGATACAGGGTCAACAAAGCTTGGAACTAACATAAGACATCTGCTTAATGAAAATGAAGCCTCAGAGTGAGTAAGTGCAAATGGGAGCTAATAGTTAATAGACTAATTAATCTGACAAAGCCAGGGGATACCCAATAAGAGAGTGTTCTTTAAGCTTTCCCCTTCCCTTGGGTTAAAGAAATTCAGGGTTTTTTTTCCCATGTAAATCTATTACTATCTCTGGGGTTACACTGCCAACTATATTGTAATAGCAGTAATAAAGATGCTGTATTATTGCCACTCATAACCATCCAAAAGGCATTTCAACACATGGACCAATATTAACTTACAATTAGGTTAAGACAATCAAAATAACTTCCATTACAATGTGCAATTCCTATTTTTCTATGCTGAATTTTAATACATTAAGCAATAATTCTATTGGAAAGAGGATTTCCTCTCCCAAAACACCTCCCACACAACATATTGCTAAAGAAATGAATACTACAATACATTTTCTCAAACAGATTTTTCTTTACAGAGTTGTCTACATTCCCTTTCATTCACTGTTCAATGACTACTGTCTGGGATCTCATAACTCAGTCCCAACTCACTCATTCTGCATATCACCTCACTAGTTTGGGCCTCCTGCCTTCAGTGTTTGCACAGGAAGGTTATTTGTACACAAAAGAACTTGAACCGGGTCTCAAGGGCTTTCATGAGTTTTCCCCCCCCTATGAGCCAACAGGGGGTATCTTTTGTCTTAAGATGGGATGCAAAGGAATGCTTTTGTCTTGGAAATAATTGGAGTGAGAGGTGAAGGTTAAAAACTCCGTATGAATCTTTGATACTTTTTCAAGGCAGTGTGATTTCTGAGATGCTTCCTAGACTTTTCAGACTTTCATATGAGTGTCTCAAACTGACATTGTATTTCTGAGACACTGCCTTTCTTGATTTGATTCGCAGAACTAATTTCCTGCCCTATTTAAATGATATTCTATTGATACAGATGTCGTCATGAATATTTGATTTCCAAGCGATATCTGCAAATAATTTGATAGCTGGTTTGGAATCTGTCATCTTTTTATGCACCTGTAACTACTTTGCTAACATCTCTTATGGCAATGAGCCACATAGGGCGGCAAATATGTGCTTTATTATTTGGGATTAAATAAAACAACACAACCACCCAATTCTTTGCTTCAGTCTGCTTGTCATGGTTTACTTTGCCAGCCCTAAATCATAGCTATATGTTATCATATATTGAACAAACCCTTTCCTTTCTTAATATCTGGGGAAAAATTCTTAGGCACAAAGGCAGAAGACACATAAGTAAATTCACTCGGTATTTAATCGTAATTCAAACTATAAGACTGAAAAACTAACAAATATCTGAATATAACACTTAATTCCAACTGATTTATAGGGCTTGCTTTTTGTTTAGGGAAAATCTCTGTTGAAAACATTACGAGTAAGACTTGAGCATGGTGTACCAAAAATTAAAAAAAAAACTCCTAAGGAAAAAATGTAGTGTTAAACAGGACTCACCCTGAAATATTCTGCAGTGAGATGACACTCATCTCTTTGCTGTTCCTGGAACAAAACATTCCCTTTCTCAGCTCTGGGCATTTTCTCTGGATGTCTTCCATGCCTGGAATTCTCTCCCTCCCCATCTCTGTCTTTTGGCTTTCCTGGCTTCCTTCAAATGTCAGCTAAAATCCCACCTTCTCCAAGAAAGCTTTTCTGATTCCCCTTAATGCTAATTCTTTTTCTCTTTTATTTCCAGTTTATACTGTTTATATCTTGATTGTACATAACTGTTTGCATGCTGTCTCTCCCATTAGAGCGTGAGCTCCTTGAGAGAGGGACTGACTGTATTTTGCCTTTCTTCATATTCCAACACTTAGCACAGTGCTTGGCACATAGCTGGTGATTGATAAATGTTTATTGACTGATTGGTGGTACAGTACAATAGACTTTCAGTGTCATTACAAGTCAAAGAACTTTCCATCACTCTCTGTGGGGCACCAAATTAATGCGGTGGAGGGAAGGAATTCTGACAAACCCCACTGCAATCAAATCAATAAACATTCATACCCAGTAAGAACAAAGGCATGGAGAAGGTAGGAAAAGGTGGGATTTTGTAAATGGGTAGTCCATTTTGGTTGGAACAATGTTAGGGGCACAACTGAGTTGCTAGCTGGCCAGTAAGGCTCTATGAAGAAACTGAAGTAAAATAATACTAGGATTTAACCATTATCTAAACCAGATGGAATAGGGATAAACTGGGGAATGGCAAAGGCTATGTGTCATGGAAATGATAGCATGGATTGCTTTTGCTGATGTATCATGTTGTGCCTTTTTGTTTCATTTTGGTTTTGATTTTGGTAGGTCTAGCAGTGCTAGATTATGGAGGGCTTTGAACACCAGGTTAAGGAGTATGAGTTTTACTTGGCTGGATCACTTCTTGAAGCATTCCTTACTCTCTCCTCCTTTGCTCAAGTCTTTTCAGAAGAGGTGGCACTTCTCCTTGCCACTGTAGTCTTAGATATGCTTTTTTTTTTGCAAGGCAATTGGGGTTAAGTGACTTGCCCAGGGTCACACAGCTAGTAAGTGTTATGTGTCTGAGGCCACATTTGAAGTCAGGTCCTCCTGACTCCAGGGCCAGTGCCCTATTCACAGTGCCACCTAGTTGCCCCTCCACTGTAGTCTTGATGCCATCTAATACTAGCTCCTCTAGACACTTACCCTCTGGAGCTTTCCCTCTCTTTCTCTTATCTTCAATCTCTGCTTATTCACTGATTCATTCTTTGCTGCTTATAAACATACCCAGGTCTCTCTCATCCTTAAAAATCTTTCACTTGAGCCTGATATCCCTTCAACTACCATCCTGTGTTCTTTTCCCTTTCATGGTCAGAGTTCTAGAAAGGGTTGTTTGTACACATTAGTTTCATCTCCTCACCATTTACTTCTCAGTGCCTTGACACCAGGCTTCCAACACATGATTCAACTCAGACTGTTCCCTCTGAGGTTACCAACTGCTAAATGCAGTTACTAGTACTCTCTCCCTTTTGAAAGTACTTTGTATATATTTTTATTTACCCATCTGTGTAGAGCCTGTCTCTCTCCAGTAGAATGTAAGCTTTTTGAGGGAAGAGACTATTTTCTCTTTGTATCCTCTATATTCTCTTTTATCATCTAGCATAGACAGAACCTTGGGCATAGCAGGCACCTAATACAGGCTTGTGGAATTGAATTGATCTTGAGGCAAAGAGTGTCAGGACCAGAGATATGCATAAGAAGATTAGTCTGAAAGCAGAGTGAAGGATAGATTGGAAAGGATAGAACACATAGGTAGGAAAACCTATTGGGAGGTTACTGAAATAATCCAGATAGGCACTAGTAAGGTTCAGTCCTAAGGTGGCACAGAGTGAATATAAAGATGACAAATGGAAGAGAAACTGTGGAAATCTAAGAAACAAAAATAATGGGTCAGTATTGGGTTTCCAGAAAATAGTTGCTACCTTGGTTCTAAGGGTGGACTTGCATTATACATACGTACATATATGTGTATGGTGTAAATGTATATACGTACATGTATGTGCACATGTGTATACACATGCACACATATACACATGAATGATATACATATATATGACATACACATTTCATACAGAATATGTTTATGCAAAATATATGTGTGTGTATGTGTAAATAATACATGTGACAAAAATATTTCACAAGTCCTGTTACTGTGGGGTCTAAAAGTCCTTTCTTTCTTTCTTTGTGCAGTTTTCTATGAAGCACAAGGTATTCATATTTTTGTAATGGGGACCTGCTCGTGTACAGAATGCTGCTGATTCAATTCCTGACATAGAAGAGACTAGGGAGCCTGCTTCCAAGATGGTCATGAAGACACGTACATCTGGTCTGTTAACCATGTGGTAAATGATTGGCTGCAGTTGCCAAACCAGAACTGGAAGGCACCTCAAAAGGCATTAGTTAACCTTAGTCTTTCTCTCTCTTGTTTGGACCTCTACTCCTGGTTTGACTCCACTGATGGTATCTAGCAAGAAACAATGTTACAAGGGGAGAGGTCTTGGGCCCTGTCCCTCAGAAGCAGAGATGTGGCCCATGAACAGAGGCAGAGTTCCTTGCTTTCCTCAGTGTTCATTCATTCATTTCAGATGAAGAATCTGAAGTCTTCTACCTTATGAGTTTCAAAAAGTTAGGAGAGTAAGCTATCAATGCATCTAGGCACCCAGGTTTTTGGGGCATCCAGGAGTTGAGTTCATGCTAGGTTCTGCAGCCAGCCCAACGTTAACGCCCCAAAGACCGAAAAAAGACGTTTGGGACTCTTCCCAGGCATAGCTATGATGCAGACAGGAAGTCACCTTCTCATTCAGAAAAAAAAGTGGTAGCCTTATGTCTGGGTTTGTCCTCAAGACCCTGAGCAAAGAGGCAGCATTTTGCTAAGGAATCTTGGTGTTCTTGGGACACACAAATTAGATGGTTGATGGAAAACTACTCTAAACCTAGTTGTGCTTCCTAAATATAATGGTTCTCTTCAATAGTAAAGTAGGCGCTACCTATAAGCATTCTTATTTCCTCACAGGGCCTTAAGGCTAATAAGCATATGACCTCTCATGCTGGATTATCATAATTAAAATAAATATTCCATATTACAGTCAATTCAAATAGAATTAATTTACTGATAGCTTCCATGCATAATTCCCTGTTATTTTAGTATGTTGTGCAGGGTTATTTCTATAAGAAAACAAAGAAACAAAAGTGAATCATAGTAGGAAGCATACATATAATCAAGGCATCAAGTCAGAACCATCTCACTAGCATTTGTCAAGGGAATACTGTTATAAATGTCCTTAAATAAAAACATATTTTTTCTGGTGACAGTTTCTGACAATCCACCTCAAGCATATACTGCAGGATGGATCATTTTTCATTAGTATAATTGACTTAAAACTTATCACTAGATGGCATAAATCCTGGTAATTGACAACCAAATCTATCAGTAGTGGAAGATGATAAATTTTTCACAAACACTTTGAAATATTCATAGGTAGAAAATTTGCCAAAGTTTTCCATCCACCAATGTATGTAAATTTTCCAGTGGTCATATTATGGTAAATAACCTGCTATTAATGATATTTCACTACTGACAATGCCTCAGTAAATATTAGTTCATATATTTATGACCTGGGAAGAGTCTTATGTTGAATACATATAGATGACTCTTCAAGATTTTTGAACTATGGTTAATGCAGCATTGGATTACTAGCAAGAGAAGATCGAAATAAAATTATTACATTTCCTAATGTGCTGACAAGTCCCTTTTTTTTTTTTTTTTGGAGAATAGGTCTCTATTTCATCGAGGCAGGCAGTTCGGTGACCACTCATGGGTCCAATATCAGTCCTGCTCATCACAGAATTTTAATCTGCTCCACTTTTTCTGACCTGAGCTGTTTTGCCCCTCCTTAGGGGACGTGGTCATTCTCCATTCCTATTCCCAGGGGCTTGTCATATTGGTATTGGGCTTACCCAATTATCTTGGGTATTATTGGGCTTACATTCTATTACCTTGAACCTTACTGCAGCTCAGAATTCTCTAACTCAAGTGACCCACCAGCCTCAAACTCTCCCAGGAGGAGGAATTACAAGGTTATACTACCATGCCTAGCTGTTTCAGAGCTTTTTGGAACTGAGGAAGTCTGTTCCCACTGATGTCTGTTCAATTAACTATAATAATTATTAATCTTTCATTACCTATGGACACTTACCAGGTTAGCAGATAACTATATCCATATTTTTATCATGTAATTATATTCACATGGATTTTTGTGTTTTGGCTTTTCTAAGATTTAAAATTGGAGATGCATTAATACTGGTCTTTTGTCTATCTAATATTTGAATCACTACCTTCCAGTAAATTGGGTGCTTAAGGAGGCACATTAATTTTCTTTCAGGTCACTGTGACATTACTGTACATTTTTAGTAATGTGAAAGCAGTGTCATGCTTCTCTAAAATGCCTAACTTACCACCTTGCCAAGTAAGGAAAGGCACCAAGGAAAATTGTTTTTACTAGTATTTAAAATCCAACTTTGAATCTTTAAAACAAAATATTTATTTTTTGATGCAAAAAATCAAATCTCAAGCTTTTAAAAATCATTGTACTGAACAGATGAATAATACTTTTCATTCAAAATAATAGTATCAATGCTGGATTTCTAGAAACATCCAGCTATTTCTGGGCCTTATTTTTTAAAAAGTTTTTCAAATGCTATATTGCATTCCTAGGAATGTCCTTTAATATACAGTTTTACCAAGAAGGAGATTCTATCATCTGAATTTAGCAACTCATGGTACTGTTAAGCAATGCAGGATATTTCTCTTTCTAGCTAATCTAAGTCATTCACACTAGTTTGTATTTTTCTCTATCAACATTCATTGAGCCATACACCATACATATAGCCCTGCTGAAGGTTTTCTTTTTTTCAGTCTTCAGGGAAGGATGGAAAACAGCTGACTTATTTTATGATAGCCAACTGGATTCTAGAAATACATCTTGATATAC